AGTCGAGCCGATCGGAAAGGACTCGGTCGTCGAAGATTCGAGCCGCTCTGCGCTGGATGCGGTCAAGTGGAAGGAGCTGGCACTGGGGAGCCCCAGCCCAGAGATGGGAACAGTATTCCATGTGAGGCCGAACCTGCGCCTTGTAAAGTTGCAGGCGTTGAGCTGGCATGAAATACTGTCCCGCTCTGCTAAGCACGCCAAGCTTTTTAGAGGCCAATTTGGCCTTCTCTTCCAAGTGACCACGAAACTGCACGTCACTCGATATGTCGACGCCGAGGATTCCGATACTGGCTGAGGCAACAAGGGGAGTACCTTGAAACTGAGGAGATACGACAAAGGGGTTCTTTTTAGCGGTAATCGCGCAAACTTGCGTCTTCTGAGGATTAAACTGGACTAGATTTAGTCGCCCCCAATCCGAGACTTTGTCCAGCAAAGACTCGACTTCAGACACAAGTTTGTTCCGGTACTCGGTGACGTTTTCCCGAGAAATATTGGCACGGCCGGTGTATAGAGCATCACCAGTGCTGTCATCCGCATAGCAATGAATGCTACCTGCTTGCAACATATCATTGATATGCAGAAGAAACAGCGTTGGTGATAGCACGCAGCCTTGTGGAACACCAGCGTTATGACCTTGATGCTCCGATCTGCAAGAAAGCTGGTGATTCAATTGCATAATTTCTCGGGAAGCCCATAGGAAGGGAGCTTCGAAAGAAGCGCTTTGTGCCAAACCCGATCGAAGGCCTTCGCAATGTCCAAACTAACGGCCAATGCCTCCCCCTTGGACTCTACTGCCTCCGCCTATCTATGAGTTAAGTAGACCAGAAGATCACCAGCTGATCGACCCCGACGAAAACCGTACTGGCGGTCACTAATCAGCTGGTGATCCTCAAGGTACCGCATGAGGTGGCAGTTTATAACGGATTCCATTATTTTGGAGAACTTTTGGAGAAAATTATATTTGGGGGTGATGGCGATAGGCCTGTAGTTGGACGGGTCTGAGCGGTCGCCTTTTTTGGGGATCGGGTGGACAAAAGCTGTCTTCCATGATTTCGGGACTACGCCTAGGGAGTAGGAATACCGGAAAAGACGCGTTAGAACCGGTGCCAACTCCGGAGCACACGTCCTCAGCACAATTGGGGGGATTACGGCAGGCCCACTCGACTTGTGGATGTCAAGGGAGAGGAGTGCTCTGCGAACCGAGCGCTGTGAAAACCGCACATCAGGCATGGAGCACTCACACCGCGTGATGGTCGGCGGTGTGTTCCCCCCGTCATCAACAGTCGAGTTGGACGCAAAAAGGGAGCCTAAAAGGTCGGCTTTCTCTTTTGCGTCGTGGGCAGTGAGTCGTCCTCCCTGTGCAGAGATGCTAGTGATGGCTTACAGAAATTCCCTTGGACAGCCTTGGCGAGAGACCAGAATGCACGGGTTCCCGAAGGAAGGCGAACTAGTTTCTCGCCAATTCTGCCTATGTGCTCTGACTTTGCCTCGGCAATAACTCTTTTGAAGGACCTGGAGGCGAAGTTATACGTCTTTTTAAATATGCTGGTGTTTACATCCCGACTCGCCGAAGCCGAAGCCCAGGCTTGATAACACTCCTGCTTACTGCGTAAAGCAGTCTTACAGGAGCGACCAAACCAAGGCTGAGATCTGCCTCCGATGGGTACCACAGATGATGGAATAAATAGTTCCATTCCCTGTAGCACCACATCAGTGACAGAGTCAGCAACAGCGCTGGGATCATCCGCCGAGAAGCAAACCCGCCCCATGGGTAGGAAGCAAAGAAAGACCGCATTCCGTCCCAATCCGCCGACCTGTAATGCCAAACACGGCGGCAACCTGCAGAACGCAACCGCGAGGGGAGCGTGAGTGGCACCACACTCCGGATCAGACAATGGTCCGAAGAGCCAAGAGGGGCATCGACGGAAACTTGATATCCGTCCGAATGAGAGGTCAACAGAAGGTCCAACAGGGAAGGTGTATGATCCTCAACATCTGGGATCCGCGTAGGCGATGTAACCAGTTGTGTCAGACCATTTGCCAAGGCAAAGTCATAAACAGATCTCCCCGCATGATCGGTTAATGGTCGTCGCTGTCTACGCGTAGCCAAAGGATGGACAGGTCCGAACCTTCAAGACTGCCGAGGCGTCGAGAACAGATGTCCTCTCTGACATACACGCAAACTCCAGCCCGAGGCACAAAGGAGTGCTCCAATTTGTACCCCGGGTAGGAGAGATACGAAGTATCAGACGGAGAGGACACCTGCGTCTCGGTCAGAAAGAGCAAGGCCGGCTTCGCTGTCTCGAGATGGTAGTGGACGGCGTTTAGGTTCGAGTGAAGTCCCCTGGTGTTGCAGAAATTCACGGATAGCGTGGCAGGGGTCGCCTTGGTCTTGTTGCTCAGTTTGCCCCGAGCAGTTATTGTGTTGAGCAGAATTTTGCCCCCCCCCCCCCCCCCCCCAGAATACACGGTGCAGCCTGAGCACCCACGCTCAGGAGTGGAATAGCATGGTCGTGGATGCTCAGCGAGGGATTCTCCAGGGGTACTGGTACCCTCCTGGGGTAGTTTATGATGTAATTCCGCTACCATGTTGATGAGGGGGGGGGGGGGTGAATTGGGCCTCCGGTCACCTGCACTCACCAGACGAAACGCGGAAGCAGAACTTCCACTTCCGGCCGGTATTCTGTGAGGTCGTGGTACCAACCCGGCTCGAGCCAGCCCATACGTGCAACAGCGAAAGCTGCTACGTGGCTCTACCACCGTTATAATATATTAAAATGATAATTCCTTTGCTGAAGTGTTGCGAATGATCCACTTGTTAGTCTCTTTAATTTGTTTTATTTATAAACGTTACACGTGCAAACGCTATGCAAGATGATTGACATAAAGTTGAATTGAATTACTTTGTGTCAACGACCTACAAGAGGAATTACTTACTCTCGCTAGCAGTTACTGAATATCACCATAATATTATGTAAGCACAAATAGCTATTTTTTAAAGCTGTTAATGGATTCATTGTTTACAAAGATGTTGCTTTATATTTCATGAATTAATGCAATCAGGCGTTACTTTGCGAAAATTCATTATATTAAAGTTAGTAAAAATTAAAGTTATGATAAAGATGTACGCGAGATAATTTTTACTAACTTTAATTTCATGAATTGCTACTAGATGGCACTGAATATTATTTTTATAACACATACGTTCATGTTTTAGTTACGTTCATCTCTATTATGTTTATTAGATGCGTGTGGTAGCATGTGAGAGAAACATTATCACATACCATCAATTGGTGTGTATAAACTTATTAAATGCCAGAAAAAAAAACATATTCTCTGACAGCGGATTTATCACCCGAAAAATACAAAAATGAAAAAATAGAGTGATTTACAATATTATGACGTGTTGACAACGCAAAAACTTATATTAGTAAAGACAGTAGTACGGTAGATATATACGGTATAATAATTTTAATGACTAAGGAGGTGATGACAACTATTTCGTAATACTAATTGTACGATTTAAAGGTATTTTCGCTGAGGTACCATCGACGAATTTCTACAAACATAGTTTCTATAAATGCAAGAAATTCTGTGTACGATACACTTGACATTAAATATTTCACTCTAAGTAAAGATTATCAAAAGTTCTTTGCTGATCATAGGCCTTCTCCATAGATTGCCTCCTCATGGGGGAATATTTGCCATAGTTGTCACGCTTGGCAGGCAGGTGGGCAATCGCCACTTTTGGTTGTTTTGAGTTATTATCAGGAAAACGATACGATTTAGGGACCTTCAAGAAAAGAGCCTACTCCTTTTTAAAAGACCGGCAACGCATCTGCGATTCCCCTGTTTCATATATAATTAACACCATTATATGTATACAAAGACACTTCCATATTGGTAAAACCCGCACGTTGACCACGCTACGTGACAGTAAATTAATAAAAATACTAATAACCATGCCAATTTGCGTCTAAATCCATCAAGTAGTTTTAGAGCCTTTTGTGTTCTAAGAAACAGACAGACAGACAAAATAAATGTAACGTAAATAATATTTTTTTTGATATTTAGTATACAGATTTGACCTAGGAACAGTTTTATTGTAGAAAGCTATAAATCTTTCTATACTACAATAAACAAAAGATAGAACAGGTTTATTATAGAAAGATATAAATCTTTCTATACTACAATAAACAAAAGATAGAGTTAGCAAATTAAAGTTCCGTCTTCGAGTAGGGTATAGTGCGTAAATAAACAAAACAACATATATTCGTTTTTATAGCTAAAGTTCACCTCAAAGAAAAACTTACAGCTGATTCCTTGAAAAATATCTTCCAAGGGGAAGAATTTTCTAGATATGCAAATATTACATTTTATCAATTTTCACATGGTAGAGTCATGCTGCAGCTATATTAGTAGTATATTGTAGCATGAATGGGTCGGCTCGAACGGGGAAGGACCACGCTCTCACAGAATACCAGCGTTAAATAGTAGCTTAACACTGCTGTGTTTCGTATGGTGAGTGTAGAGATCCGGAGACCCTTTTTACTGGCAAAGAGGCATTCCATCTTAGTCCTCACGGGTGACAACGCATCTGCATCTTGAGTCTTTATTGAGGATAGATGAAGATGTCTATGGGTCACAGTAACCACTTACCATCAGGTGGACTGTGTGCTCGTTTGTCACCCTATCCTATAAAAAAAATACCTACGCCAGAGCAAAGATGGTTTAGTAAGGACTAGCACCGACTAAACGCTACATCCGCGGTTTCACCAGCGCCAGCCGCCCCTTGGCGGTCTCTCCTCAAGTGAGAACTTCTCTTCTATTATTTCGTTGGGTATTTTTATAGCACTTTTATATTTATTTTACACTTTAATATTGTTATACATAAAAAAAGTTTCATTTGTATATGTTTAGAGGATGCGTAGATAATACATATGTGTGCGACTATTAAATCGCGGGTACAACTAAAACAGTAAAAATAAAATAATACTAACTCTGGACTCTGTCTGAAGTGGTCGACCGCGAATTGAAGTAGAGGATGTCTTCCATCATGTTGTGGGGTCGATTGGTCCCTTCTTTCTTCTTTTCTTTCTTCTCTCATTTCTCTTTCCATTTCTCTATCTCGCTCTTTTTCTCTTTCTCTGTCCCTCTCTTCCTGCTGCACAGGTGAATTGATCTGCGTTCTCCTTTCAACATGTTCGGTCTCATCCCTCGACTCCCTTATGTCTCGAATTTCTCTAGAGTCCCTCGATTCCCTCGATTCTCTTGACTCCCTCGACTCTCTCGACTCCCTCGACTGCCTTGTTTCCCTTGTTTCCCTCGTTTCCCTCGTTTCTCTCATCTCTCTGTTTTCACGTTCCGTTGTGCGATCCTTTGTTGTAATACCATTTGTTGTAGGCTTTGGTTGTATCTGAAACAAATGAAAGTCAATTTTAGTGTTTACGCACGTACACAATGTAACATTTATAATGCCCGTCATAAAATTCTAAAATTACGTTTTACTTGTTACGGGTTTTCTTATTAATCTTGAATATTAAATACAACTTCATTATATCTAAGGATTATATCTTATTTATTAAAAGTATTTCTATTTAAAATAATTTTCAGTGCTCTGTTAAGTGTTTAAGTTATTCCTACAAGGAAATGTTAAATATTTTCATTTAAGAGTAGCAAAGCTTCGTTTTATTTTATTTAAAGTATTTTCATTTAAAATAATAAACGAAACATATTTTCATTTATACGACATTTACACTTATGTTTAGTAAGTTAAAGTAAGGATGACAAAAGACAACACAGTCAAACCAATTGTAAGTGGACGGTGTTGTATATAGACAACAAAACTATCCTCCATTAAGAATTAAGACGCTACGATCTAAGTTTGAATGCTTCGTTACCAGCAAACAGTGTCTCCGGTTCGAGCATGGTTCTTCCCGTTCTAACTGGGCTAAAATAGCGTGGCTCTACCACGTATTAATTATGTTTTTATTCTTTACTGTAAAAATGATTTCATTTCTTTGAAGTGCATACAAACTGGCATGCCAACTTTATAATTCATGTATTTCGAGTTATGTTTAAAAAAAATATGTAAAACACATGCATTTCATTCATATTCATGAATGGAATACTGAGTAATTGTTTATAATGTTTTTTTGTTTCAATTTAAATTTCAGTGATGCGTTTTAAACATCGATGCAACGATAACTGTAATTCAAAAACCATATAAAAGTTCATTGCAACTTAAAAAAAAAGGAAGAAACTAATTCGACTGTTTTTTTTTGTTTTAACATGATATCTTCGTATTTGGAGAACATTTTTTACAAAGACCAATACGGGTGAAGTTCCTATGGTAACAAAGGTTAATTTAGACGACGTTGATATTCCTTAGTCCACTCAAAAGGATTAAAAATTAACTTTGAAAAAAATTAAAAGCCAGTTTTTACGTAGTAGAGCCATGCTGCAGCTATATTACCGATATAGTTGTAGCACGAATGGGGTCGGCTCGACCGGGAAAGGACCACCCTCTCACAGAATACCAGCGTAAAATAGCAACTTAACGCTGCTGTGTTTCGTATGGTGAGTGTAGAGAACCGGCGGCCCTTATTACTGGAAACGAGGCATTCCATCTTAGTCCTCACGGGTGACAACGTATCTGCAATTTGATTCACAAACGAGGATAGATGTAGATGTCCATGGGCCACAGCAACCACTTACCATCAGGTGGACTGTGTGCTCGTTAGTCATCCTTATCCTATAAAAAAAAGTTTCAAAGAAAAATTAAAAATAATAAAATAGTTTCATTATAAAGTCCGGGTCTTAATTTAAATTTATTTTGGGAAATTAGAATTTAAAGAACTGCTTAGCCAATAGGACGACATCTGTCACATTACTCACAAGTTATTATTTATGCTTTAAAAATTATGTTTTTTTATATTTCAATGATAATGTGGCCTAAAGGATTCGAATAAACATCCGAACATTTAAGAACGAGTAAGTCCATATAATAAAGCAACAAAATATCGACTGCACTGAATATTTAGCTTCGTTGCGTCGTTCATTCATTGAAAGCACAAAAGTTACACGACGTACAATAAATATTATACAAATCATAATTCTTAAAACCGTGGACACCTGCAACTATTTTCAAACCAAGAAGGCTATGGTAGGCCTCATACCCAGTAATTATATTGGCTCTCAAACAAGAACACACGGCAGTGCAAGCACTGCTATTTTGCGTCAGAAATGAGTAAGATAGTGGTACTTTCCCAAACGGACTCCTACGTAGAAAATAATGCTTACGACCTAATAACAGTTACAAATACTTTCAAAGTAAAAAGCACGTTGTAATATTATAATCCTTATTCCATAACGACGTGGTAAAAAAATGTGCAGGCACATCACTACATTTCTCAATTAACAATTAAAATATTGAAGAGTTAGCGGCACCGACTATGTGTTCAAGAAAGCGTGAACAGAGTGCATGGTCCGAGGCGCCTTGAGGAATGATCCCGTCAGTGCCTGCATGTGTGTTTGTTATGTGGATACAAGAGCGAACTCGTATACATACAATATATATATAACGTAAGCATAACTTGTATGACCACCTCTTAAAAAAATTATAAAATGTTAAAAAATATTTGTAGAATACGCAAGTCTGTACTGTCCGAGTAAGTTAAATTATACGCAATTTCTGTCCATTTAAATCCTTAAAAATGTATAGTTTATAACTAAATAATAACAGTATATCGCCGTTTGGTAGTGACAGGAGATTTTACACATCTCCTCCCGGCAGTGTTGTAGGATACGAGTGGGGAAACATTTCTCCTAAGATCCAATGATATATAAGATAGGGCGGTCTAACGGTAAAATTATTGCAAATACTCTTTTTATTATGATAGAGGACCCGCAACTGTGTTATGCAACAATTAATATGTCTGTTTTAAACATTTTCTGCTATCTCTTTCTTATGTTCCTCACGCTGAGGTGAATTCGTGACGTCACAATTGCTAATAAAGTATCTACCTTTCTTTATAATATAATAGATAAGAAATCAGATTAAAAATGAACTGAAGATAACGTTCTATAAACAATAGAAAAAATATACAGCACTCTCATGTACCTACGCAATACATACTTTATTGTTTTAATGTTTTGGACGTAACATTTGAATACAAGCAACGATATTGTTTTAGCTATCGGAGCATTGTCCGGTATATCACACACTGAACCTACGAGTAGCTATATTCGCGCCAATGTTGCTTACACAATTTGTATCGAATTAAGTATATTGTTTATTTATATATCAGTCAATACTTTTATACAATAAGGGTGACAAACGAGTACACAGTCTACCTGTCTTTAATTAAAAATGAAAATGCAGATGCGTTGTCGCTCCTGAGGATTAAGATGGAATGCCTTATTTCCAGTAGAGAGTTTCCGGTATTATAGATCCTCCATACAAAACTACTTTTGAAAATATGTGAAAGCATGGTCCTATAGCTACAGTGTGGCTCTACGAGTACCTCGTGAAATTCATACCAGGTGAAAATCATTAAGAATATTATAGAAAAAATAAAACATTTTGAAATGTTCCGTGTAAGGATTCTATTCTAATTGACTATTACATAGTCTGTTGAATTCAAAATGGGTGTTTTTGTTTAAGGTAATTTATAGGTTTAAGTATCGGAATCCTCGGCGTCGACATATCGAGTGACGTGCAGTTTCGTGGTCACTTGGAAGAGAAGGCCAAATTGGCCTCTAAATACTTGGATGCTCAGGAGAACGGGACAGTATTTCATGCCGGCACACTGCCTGCAACTTTACAAGATGCAGATTCGGCCTCACATGGAATACTGTTCCCATCTCTGGGCAGGGGCTCCCTAGTTGCAGCTCCTTCCACTTGACCGCATCCAGCGCAGAGCGGCTCGAATCGTCGACGACCGAGTCCTTTCTGATCGACTCGATTCGTTGGCACTGCGAAGAGATGTTGCATCCATTTGCATTTTCTTTCGCATTTACCACGGGGAGTGCTCTGAGGAATTGTTCGGATTAATCCCAGCCGCCAAATTTCACGAACGCACATTGCGGCAGAACTCCCGATAAATCGTCAAATTCAAATTAAAAATATTTACTATAAGTTAAATGTTATATGTTTGTGGTGTTAATTTATAATATTTCGTGTCTTACAACTCTTTTCGGCTATTACAATATTTATTATATTTTGTAGGCCTAACATAAGTTAAACAATGAATGAAAGTTATCAAATAATTTTATTCTTATATTAAACAATTAATTAAAATTATAAAAAAATAATATTTTTAAATTACGTAATAAAAGAAAACAATACATAATTGGATATTTATCAGATACCATGAGATATTTCTGGCATTAAAATTCAAAATTTCTGTCGAGTTTCATGGTGGTTGTTCCAAGGACAGAAGTTTCTTTTCCGAACCATGGTAAAACTAAAAAAGAAATCTTTCAATAAGCATTAATTGTATAGTTTATTAATCTATATTGAATAAAAATTATTCAATATCCTATTCTATTTCCCATAATTGCATTCTGTGGTATCCACAGGACAAATTTGGATGTTTGATTTCTACTTAAATGAATAAAAAAAATCCTCTCCGGATATTGATTGACGATATTTATGTCTATGTAATTGAATTATAACTTAAAGGCTATAAATATAAGCACCAATTTCTTTTCCGTTATTAATTGACAACTGATGATAAATTAAATTATAAAATTGATAAAATACCTTTGGTTTACTTTTTAACGTCTTCCTGCTCAGTGTTCTGATTATATCGTAAAAGTTCTCCATATTTACTCTATATTACGTAAATTATGTAATGTAATTTTTTTTACAAAATTGAACAGTGCCTTTTTTTTCAATTTTTTTTTATTATCACTTTCACTATATAAAAACTGATTTCTTTTACGGATATGCAACAATTTCCGCGCTGCATTCGCGAAGTGTAGCTGCAGTATGCGCGCACACTGCACACCCGACCGCAGTTTTTTATAAATATGCAATCTCAATGCGTCCGTTTCGTTTACAGCTAATTATTTTAGTAATCGTATTACTTGTCCGCAAAACTATACAATGTTGGACATAGTATTATACTTGGTTTTATTCATAGGTATGTATTGAAATATTGTTTAAAATTCCTGACAAAACCATTTTTTTATATTTTATTTTTATAATTAATAGCATCAATTAATGTTGTTTTACTACATGTCTACATCTTACTATTAGGTACAACAAGGTCGTAACAAATTGCTTTCTAAAGGTCAACTACACCTGCAGGTGGTGCAATCTGCTGATTCATAAACGAGGCTTTGGCGGTGTGCCGTGTAGCCGACTATGACAGTTAGGTCTTCTTGAATAGGCTTACAGTCAGCAGTTGA